GAGCCTGATGCGGGACTCGATCCAGGGACTCCAGGATCATGACCTGAGCCGAAGGCAGTCGCTTAACCAACTGAGCCACCCAGGCGCCCCAAAAGTAAAGAATTTTAATGCCTTCTTAACACCAGCACTTTTACCATCATAGTAAATTGAGAAATATTTCAGAAGTGCTAAGTAAATTTCTCACAACCATTATTTCTTTACACATTTACATAATTGCAAGAAAGAGTAAAGTAGGTGTTTCTCAGTTAATATTCTTTTAAATTGTTAGAGATTTAACAAAGGGCATTAATTATAGGCTAACTTACTCTGAGAGACAATTTTCGAAATACATCCCAGAACCTGATAAATAGATTTCTCCTATTTTTTATTCCGTTTCTGTTTCCTTTTCTCTTCACTAAACATAGTCAGGACCTTACTCTGCCATAACACAGAACTGCATTATATTTTATTATTTGTTGGATTTCTTGGAGACAGACCACTTTATGAACATAAAATCAAGGATCTGTTAGAAAATGATTCTGTGGCGATCTGGTCCACACTTGACCCCACAGCATTCTAAAAAACTGGCTGTGTGGCCTCTGCTTAAAACTCTCATATATAAAAATATACCCCTTACTACACAGTTCATCCTATCTTGAGATCACTCTCATTGTTAGATGACTGCTTTATACCCCGAGATAAAAAGCTGCCTTCTCTTATCTTACATGTATCGGCTCTCATTTTTCTCTCTAGAGCAAAGATGGTCAAACAAAACAAAACGAAACAAAACCAACCAAACTCTACCTTTGTCTATCTGAATAAGTCACTGTCCTCTAATAAACATGCGGACGGACCCACTGCAGACTCCCCTGTCCAGGATAAATCCGTATTTCCAAGTACCTTCCTGTATCGGTCTCCCCTCCTTTGTTATAATCCTCAACATACGCAAAAAATCCAGATGTTGTTTAATCAGAGTGTGGAACTACTCTCCTCTGATCTGGGATTTATACTCTTATTCACGCAGTATAAAGTGTCAGTTAACACAGTCCTGAAAGGGTTTTACCACTTTCTAAAAAGGTGAAAAATGGAATAGCTTGCTTTGAGAAAAGGCAAAAAACCAAGATGAACTCCTGTGCATGTATGATCCAGTAGGGTCAAAGGCAGTTTCTCAGCACAATGCTTATATTCTAACAAACTACAGACTCCCTCGAAAACCAGACCCCTAGTCAAATAGCAACATACAAATTCATTATGCAACCACCTTACTAAAATTACAAATTTTGCTACTTTAGGAATAAAGTCAGGAAAATAAAATATGCTTATTACCTTCTTGGGTTAAATAATACATGTTCTCTGCTATTACAGCACTCTTATCTTGTGAATCCAAGAAAAAGAATGTAGAGAAATCTTCAACATCAGCAGTTACTGAAAATTTTCATATTAAATGTTAAATAACCAATTAATAAAACATTCACAACTCAATAAACATTTGTAGAAAGTATATGGAAGGATTATTTTACCTGATGTGGGTATTAAATTAAGGTACTGCCATTTTGTGTGCAAAATCAAAGGATTTAAACGGGGTACAACATTATTCTTTTCCATAAGGAAATCAATTACATTTGTTCGATCATTTAATGTGCCCTACAACAACAAAAATATTACTTAGGTAATCTAGGCAATTTATATGTATATATTTTAAAGTTTTGCACAGAATACACTTAACTACTTCATCTAAAATAATAAATAAATAATGTAGGCAATTAGGATTCATACAATAAATTTTACAACAAATTTGCCTGTAAAAATTTGAATTTTCTTTCCAATAAAGCAGTTGATTCAATTATGCACAGGTAAACTTAATTAACTAATTACTACTTTTAAAGAAACTACTAAGTGATCAGGATGGGAATTTTTGCCATGAAAAGATGTTTTAATACAAAAAATCATTTTTAAACATCATTTATCATGCATTTTCTCATAAATGCTTACCTACCATGAAAACTTCTTTCTGTAAATTTATGGTTGCATCCATCATTCTGTGAAGAACACTTGTTTCCAGCTCTTCAGTATTCCGCTGTTCGAGCTTAAAGGGTTCTCCATTATAAAGGGCTTGAGGCAAAGGACCCAGACCAGTCATCTTATAAAAGCTTGCTCCTTCCTATTTAGTTCAAAAATGCCAGAGAGTTAAACTGAATATGGCTGTCTGGAAAAGAAATGTGTATGAAAAACAAGGGACGGAAACTGCCACATTTTTATACGCCATAGAAAAAAATGTGAACTTTGCTGATTTCACTTGTCCTTTCCAAACATTTTTTAAAGGAAAGTAATTTACCCACATAAAGCAAGAATCAGGTAGCTTTTTCTGTAAAGGGCCAGCTAGTACCCATTTCAGACTCTGTGGGCCATCCAAACTCTGTCTCAACGACACAGTTCTGATGCTGCCATCCAGCTGTGATACCCAACACCTGGATGCATACCCACCGCTAGGTCCCAAGAAAACTGTGTATGTAAAGGCAGGCAGTGGAGGGGCAGGATTTGCTGACCCTTGTATAGAGTGTAACATTTAAAAAAAAAAACAAAAAACCAAAACACCATTTACCTGTATCAGAGAGTCATTCATCCCTGCATTCATTTGTTTAATAAACATCTGCTGAATTCATGCCATCGGCACGAGGCTACACACTGTGAATACAGAGCTGAAAGTCTGCCCTCAAGCGGTTCACACAGACACAAAATAGATGTATGCACGCGCTTCTCTGGGAGCCAGAAAGAAACGTCTAGCCAAGCTTGAGTAAGGAGAGGAAGGGGTCAGAGAAGCCTCTGGGAAGGAGTGGCATGGAAAGTCTTAAAGGATGAGTAAACATTTGCCAGGAAGATAAAGTGGAAAAAGATATTCCATGGGAAGCGAGACAGCATAGCAAGGAATGGAGGGGAGGAGAGAATACAGCATCTTTAGGCAATGGCCAGTAATTTTCTGTGTCTACAGTGGGCAGAGTTACATATGTGGGTGTGGTCAGATACAGGGGCAGAGACCAGATCCTGAAGGTGCTCAACATCTGGATTTTATCTTGTGAGTGATAAAGTGTGACTAAACAATTCATTTGCTATTCAAAACTATGTATTATTATAATTATTATTGCCAACATTCTCAAAATTACTCTGTGAAGCTAAGTACTACCATCACATCCATTTCACAGATGATGACATATGACCTCCAGCACCACCCAGCTACTGCATTTTATTTGAAAAATTTTTTTTAATTTTTCATGTTTTTACTTAAATTCCGGTTAGATAACAGTTAACTGTAATATTAGTTTCTGGTGTAGAATTTAGTGATTCGTCACTTACATACAACACCCAGTGCTCATCACAAGTGCCCTCCTTAAAGCCCATCACCCAGTTAACCCATCCCCCCGCCCACCTCCTCTCCAGCAACCCTCAGTTTGTTCTGTTGAGAGTCTGTTTCCTGGTTTGCCTCTTTTCTACCCCCGCCATGTTCATCTGTTTTGTTTCTTAAATTCCACATGTGAGTGAAATCATATGGCATTTGTCTTTCTCTGACTTATTTCACTTAGCATAATTGCTCTAGCTCCATCCACATCGTTGCAAATGCAAGATGTCATTCTTTTTTATGGCTGAGTAATATTCCATTGTACATATATATATACCACATCTTCAGTCGATGAACATTTGGGCTCTTTCCATAATATGGCTATTGTTGATAAAACTGCTATAAACATCAGGGTGCATGTATCCCTTCCAATCAGTATTTTGGTATCCTTTGGGTAAATACCTAGTAGTGTAATTGCTGGGCGTAGGGTAGTTCTATTTTTAACTTTTTGAGGAACCTCCATACAGTTTTCCAGAGTGGCTGCACCAGCTTGCATTCCCTCCAACATTGTAAGAGGGTTCCCCTTTCTCTGCATCCCCACCAACACCTGTTTTTTTTCTTGTGTTGCTACTGCATTTTAGAAACAAAATTTGTACTTAGAGCTCTCTGACCAAGAGTCTGAACCCTTAATTACTATTATCTCTGCAATTATTGGGCACTTATGGTATATTAGGCTTATGAATGCATATAAATAAAATGCAAATTCTATCCTTTAATGTAGATGGGTACATTAAAAACAAGTGTGAACATAGCATCCAGGGCTACCAAGGAGGGCATGGTCAGTTCCATCTAGAAAGAGGGTAAATGATGATAAGTAATATGATCAGATTTGCGTATTTAAAAAAAGACCACAGCGGCAATGGTGAGAAAGAAGGACATGGGAGAGCGTGCCCTGGGAATGTTGGTCAGGGACTCCTGCACTAGTGTGGGAAAGAAAAAGCAAGAGCCAAACAGAAATTCATGGTAATGCGCAAGGGGAGAATGAGCAAGTTTCTGAAACATTCAGCTGGCAGGATGGACAGAACCTAACAACGTATTGTTTGGGATGGTATGAGAGAAGCAGTAGGTTAGGATGACGATGAGACTTCTAGCATCGGTAGCCAGGGTGAATGACGATGCTACCCTCTAGGATAGGGCATAAAGAAGAAAAAAATGTTTGGGGTCCCAAGGAAGATGATGGGCTTGGTTTCGGATTCTTTTAAGATGCTTATGGGCAAGCCCCAGGTAGCTGCATACATGGGTATGGACCCAAGAAAGAGGTCTCTGCTAGAAATACAGGCCCTCTTTTGATTTACTCTGTGATTTCTAATTAGGCAACCTGTCCATTCCAAAAGCTTTAATTACAACAAATACCACAAATAAGCCAATGACACTGAATTTTATAATTTTAGCCCTGCCAGACTGAGTTCCTAAACAGGGGCTTAATACCCAATCTAACTGCAGCTTCAGTCTCCCTCAGAAATGTAGTCTTAACCCATCAGTCAGGAATTTTCCCATCAGATCAGTACCAATGAGTCCGCCACATGGGCCCTCTCCATCCCCCAAAGATAGATGAGGTAGTCTGCCTGGTAAGACCCTTGCTTTGCCCCTAAAGGAAAGCCACCTTGCCCGAAATAATCCCTTTTTTTTTTTTTAATTTATTTTATTAACATATAATGTATTATTTGTTTCAGGGGTACAGGTCTGTGATTCACTCATCTTACATAATTCACAGCGCTCACCATAGTACTTACCCTCCCCAATGTCCATCACCCAGCCACCCCATCCCTCCC